AAGGGCTAGTTCCTGAGACACTTAAACAGCTCAGTTTGGAGCCATTCTCAGGATTTATGCTATCCAGTTTCCAATTCTTTTACTTTTACCAACCTGCAGCTGGAGTTTCTGCCTATACTACACAGGGATGGGGCAGCCTCTTGATATGTTTACCCAGTGAAGAAAGTTGCCATGCCCTGGGCAGAGCTTTCTCTGCTTGGGAAGGACAACTTTCCCAGGGAGGTAGAGCTGAGCCCTGAAGGTCTACTTACTTTTACCTGTTGAATGGCTCCTATTGTCTTAACACAAGGCCTGTGTTAAGATGTAGTTGCTCTGGCCCAGTCTTTGTCAGTATCAGATAAAGTTCTGTGGTGAGAGAGCAGCTACCTTCCCACTGCTCCTCTGTAAAAAGGAGTGAGATGTCTTTGGGATACTCATCCCTTTCCCTTGGGCCACTCTGTGACTGTCTCTGGTCAGCAGGATGAAGACTTCTGCTCCTTGTCAGTTCTTGCTGATGGTAAGTAGGATCCTAGCTCAGCGACTCTGGTGCCTTTGTTCTGGGGGCTCTGTCTGTTGATATGGGTTCTGGGCACACTAGCAAGTGCTCGAATCTGTCTATTTAACAAAGCTGCCTGAATTTTTTCTCTCTGGCCAAACTCTGTGGGCTATGATGACACACTTGGTGTGATTCTCTAGACTTGCACATTTCACTGGAACACTAAAACTGCTTTCTACACGAGAGCTTGTTTAGCCCCCAGATTCTCCTCTGGACTCTGATTTACTATTATATAAAGACAACATTTACCTTAAACTTACAGATATTTTTCATCTCACTTTTCTATGTTCCTCCTCTGACTATATGTTAACTATTAATAATGGCTCTTTTTTGGCTCTCCTTTTCTACAAAATACACTTTGACGCTAACAGTCCTGCTATCTGTGAATCCAGATATCTACTATAATTGACACAAGGAACATTATCTGGTCAAATTAGTCATTTCATGTTTAGTTTGTGAAATAGTCAACAGTGGTGAACATGCTAGGCATATCTTAATAGTTTGTCAGTTGGCACATTGTGGGGATTAACTACAATGCATATCATCAAAGCATATTTCTATTTTTGTTTATAGGAAATACATAGATAATAAACATTGATTTGGTATAACAGCAGTTTATAAGCAGGGGCTTCACAGAATAAGAAATACACACGTAGGATTAATTATTTAAATGTCAAATGTTGAATCTATTTTCTACAAAAATGTGTCAAGTTTTAATATGCACAAGAAAAATAATGAAATAGCAAAATATTTTAGAAGATATAGGCAAATCATCAAATAATTAAGTGATTGAGGAAAATGTGTGGCAACATATATTGTCCCACACTTATTTATTTCATTTCTTTTTTCCCTTTAATTGGTTAAATTTAAAATAAACCTGATATATTAGGAAAGAAAACTGATAAAATTAGGGGGAAAATTTGATATATAAGAAAGATGATAAACTGAGCATAGAATCTAATGCTAATCTAAATTAGGCCATTTAGATATTAATTTAACTTAGATTAGTGATTTATTATAGATTTTCTCAGCATTTGTATAGTTAAAATATCTGATTGATTTGAAAAGTTGTCTCCATATTGTTGAGTATGAAGACTGTTTATGCTCTTGCAAATGTACATAAATCAGCAGTGAAGCAATGGCACAATGTGAATCCATTCTGAATGACAAAAAGCTTCTTCATTAGTCAAATAATGTAGCATGTCCTTTAGGCTTTGTGCACTACTGTTTATCTATCATTTCCCTGGCTGCTTTTTGAGCTCATTCCAAAAAAAGAATAACTGTCATCATTCAGTCATCTAATTTATAAACAAATTCATTTTCTTAGGGTGTGGTTAGTTTTTCTTTGCCACTTTCATCATAAAAGGTACCATAACTACTATCACAATGATGCCTTCAGTGAAGAATATTGAAATGGAAAGAACTGGACAACTCATTCACATTCTTCACAGGAACTCCATTACTGTTTATCAAATACAAAGAGATTCTCATGAGGTTCATAAATTGTTCAATATCCTTAATTTGTCCAAATTATCAATTAAAAGAATTTTCTGCTGCATATCATTTTATTTTTAACATTATATTTTCACTCTCTGTAAAAATCAAACAACAATCAAGCTATTTTTCAGCCAATTACACTAGGATATATCCCGAAGTAACTAATGCCTATGTACATAAATAGTGCCAGTTTTATTAGTAAACACAAAAATAACCCAAAAGAACATTTTCCTTCATATTTTCTAAAGACGATGAAAGGTAAAGTATTTGCATGCCATTCTATTCATAAATTTTGCTTAGAAATAATCCTAGACAAAATTTAACTCCTGACCAAAAACTTTACCTAATGAATTATTATTTTTTTCCATGAGCATTTCTTATAAAGCTTTCCTTTTATAGTGAACCTTGAAAGAATTGTTGCTGTAGTCCTATAACAACTTGTATTTAATTTTGATCTCCTTTTTGGGATGATAATTTCAGTTTGTTACTCTTGTTCACATTTTCTAAAACCAACTTTGTTTTATTGATTACTCAAAATGTTCTCATAATCATCAATTTATTAGTTTTTGCCCAAGATTTTGTTTCATCTTTTTTATTAATATCTTTAAGTACTCATACAAAGGGAGTTCAATTCATCACTTTATGATAACAATTTATCTTAGTCAATATCACCTCTTTCATGTCATATCTTTTTTGTTTCTATCAACTAATTTTGGGTTTCTCTCAATCTTATTTTCCTGACATTCAGATGCATTATTTATTTTTTAATTTGAGACCTCTCTGCTTTTCCTTCTTGTTTGTTTATTTTCGTGATACTGGGGGTTATACCTACAGCTTCAAGTGCTCAAGGCAATTGCTCCACCAATAGATCAACATCAATAGACATTTATTAAACTTAAGTAAGGTCTTGCTAACTTTTCTCAGACTCATGATTCTCCTGCATTTAATTCCTAAGAAATTGGGATTTCTGATTTTTTTCAATGTGGGTACTCTCTTTAGATTAATTTAATAATTTTAGATTAATTTAATAAAAAATTCCGGTAAATTGTATTATTATTTTCATGTGAGTACCAGGATTTTCAGATTTCTTCTTTAGCTTATTTAATGCCTATTGTTTATCTAAAAATATATCATTCGATTTCTGTTTGGTTATATACTTTTAGTTTATCTTGCTAATGTCTTGAAATTTTATTATATTATGAATTCATAAATTTCAGGGTGTCATTTCAGAGTTTTTGAACATGTTATTTCTTGTTTTATTTCTTTTTTAGTGACCTAAAGTGTTGTTAAAGGTTGTATGGGCTCTTTCTGGATTGAATGTTCTATTGAATGTTCTATGTTAAGCCTATTTTGTTTGGGCTTTAGTGTTTATATGAAATTAATTTGTTTTGGTGTGTGTGTGTGTGTGTGTGTTGGAACATCTATATAATCTAATGATGAAAATAGAGAAATAGGAGAGTAAAATGAAAACAAAAAACTCTACCATCTGTTCTTTAATCCCAGTGTTGTCTCTTTCATTTTACTTTGTGTGAGAGAAAGACATTTTTCTCTCTCCATATAGATTAGATGTAATGTGTGTGAGTGTGAGTGTGTGTGTGTGTTTGTATTTGCTGAAGGAACATTGCTCTGCCTTTCTTGCCAGGCTGAGTTCCAGTCACTTTTACTGTATGCAGGCCTGACAAAATGAGAGATAGAGGAACCACCCTTGATCTGTTCCCAACCACTCAGCCTGAGGGCCCCAGCTGAATATCCCATATGTCTGTCAAGCTCTCTATGCATGCATATTTGGTAGAGAAAATTCCAGAGTAACAGCTGCTTTCCACACAATCTCCATTCAAAAGAATCAGGCCAAAGTAATCTGTGCGGGAAGGCTAAAGTATAAGGCTTGGAATGATGCTAGTATGCTGTCCACAATGTTCTGATTTACTTGTATTCCCACAGCTGGTCCCCTCTCATCTTACTCATTAGGGGTGCAGCTCCACATATGCATTCGCTCTCAGTTTCCTTCTGTACTGTAATTTGAACTCCACCTTCCTACCCAACTAGATCTCTGCCTGTGAATCCAGTTGCTTGTTTTCACACTGATCCCCAGGATGCTTGCCTGCTTTGTTATCACAGAGTTGGCATCCCTTGAAGTTTAGAGATTAAAAAAATAATGCCTTTCCAAGGCATCACTAAACAAGGCAGATATTGCAGAAAGCTCTTTCTCCAGGGTTTGCTTGTTGCAACTTCTTGAATTACATTTTTCATGTCCTCCACTAGTTAGGGGAGTACAACTTGAGTCACACTGCCAGTTCTGGCCTTTGTCAGTTAATTGGAGGTAATTCTCTCTTGGATTTCTCTGCCTGGGATATCTCAATCTTTGATCTTCATATTTCAGAGTTGTAGGTAGTTAAGATTATAAAATGAGCCATTGACACTTCACTATAAATTATTTTAAGAGAAACAATTTATACTATGTTAACTGATAACCAAGCTTTCACTAAGGAATGACATGATAACATATTGGAGTTTTCCTGTATAGAAAGTACTTTGCTACTAAATCTAATGTCAGATTAAATAGAATGCGCTAACGTGACATTTTTGCTACTATCAATGCCTGTATAACTCAATAAATCAATATTACATGACAACATGATAGTCTGTCTTAAAAGAGAAGTGCTCATTCGATAAATATTTGATAAATTTCAAATGAGATCACATATTCAAGTTACAAGTAAATGTGTGAAAATTTTAATTAAAGAATAACTTACATGAAGGAGACTGGTTGTTTCAAAGGCCACAAGATTTGGTGTACATCTGCAAGTGAAAAATTCCCACTCATCAGAAGTAATCCCATTATTTCCATGTTAGTACTGAATAGTCATAGTATTTATTCCCAATAGTTTGTAAATCTGTTGATGGGAACTGACCTAGTTTTGATGTATGTTATCATTTTATTGATAGTATTTTTATTTTTATTTAATAGGTCCAAAGTGGTATCCTTCTCGGATTGGCTTACAGCTAGAATGTGGTAAGAATTTTTCAATTTTCAATGAGACATTTCTTTAATCTAGGATCACTTTTCTATTTTCAATGGCTAATAATTATTGTATAGGTTATGGCACAGATTTTTTAATGTGCATGTGCTATATGGTCTGTCCTCCTTTGGTATAACAGAGTTTGTATAGGGAAAGTTTGGATGTACAGTGAGAAAAATCACTCAATAATTTTTGAGACCCAGCTTTGAAACTGAAAAAATTATTAATTGATGCATATTTATTATTTGACCCATATTCTGTTAGCCCCAGCAAATTGATGTGCTATTGCACAGATAAGGGTTGGGTGTGTAGATGGCGATGTTAATCGGGGGAACTACAATCCATGATGTGATGAGGAGAATAGAGAGACAATGAAGAATTAGAGCCTTTATTACAATGATCTGTCATAAAACTTGTAAATAAAAGAAAAATATATCTTATTCCTATCTTATCTTAACAAATGTTTCATAATGACCTGGAATTGAGTGTGCTGAATTTCTAATTGTGACTAGAAAATGCAAAAAACATGGATTGAATTGTCCTTTATTTCTGATCACTGGTTGTAGCCAATACATAAAAGCTTTATCTTCTTCCTTCATAAAACAGCCTTGACAATATTCTGGGTTTAGGATATACAACCCAATACCTAACTCATCCTAGGGATGAAACAATTTATACATGGCTTAATTTGGGCAGGAAATCTGGGATCTTTAATTAGCTGAAACCTGATCCAGAAAGAGGACATTTTTCCTTCAGAAAAGAACAGAGTCTTGGGAGACTTAAGTGGTAAAATCAGGGTGGCAGATTTATGTGCCTAGTATGGTATGTCTGAATGTTGTTTGTATTAATATGTAACTGTGTGTACAATTATATATATACATATATGTATACATACACACATGTATGTGTGTGAAACCACATATAAAGTCAATGCTCTTTTTCTTAATATTGACAAGCATGGCAGAATGGTATAAATGAATTCCTTCCTTATGGTGGAGGTCAGTATGTGTTGGAAACAGTTGCAGCACACTTTCATAAAGTCTTAAGCCATCATATTTTTTAATCTTATTAATATTTTCTCAATACCTTTTAATACATGATTTTTCATTGTATTGTTAAACATTTGGATATCAAATTATTTACTTTGATCAATATTGCATCAACTTTCTATTTCTCTATAAAAGATGATGACATTTTAGGTGTTCAAGTTTCATTAACTAGATTGAATTCACGGTACTGTTGGATTTTCTGCACAGGAGATGAAAATTTGGGGACAAAATTTTGGTTGAACCGAATTCTCACCTGAAAATCCTTAAGTAATGCTCCTTTCCAGCCACATTCTAGGTGTTTGTCTGCTGTCTGTATTTGTATTTCCAATTTCCTTGACTGAGTTCACTCTGTAGAGGCTCTTCTTTATACCAGAAACCACCTTCATCTTGGACATGTATCAACAGTAGTACTCTGGATTCTTCTTTTTCTGACCTGTACATATAGAATTTTAAAATCTTAATTAATTGAATTACATCTAACTGGATAATAACTTTTTAAAAGCCATATAACATGCTTTAATTTACAGAGTGATAGCCTATCCTATTCAGAAGCCCTGAATTAAGGTCAGGTATCTTTAAGGACTATAAATTTGAATCATAAATAAATCATAAATCATAAATAAATTTTAGCTAACTTGTAAATAAAATAATTGTAGCTAGTGGTGAAATATACTTTGGTTAGCTTTGATTAAATTCAACTAAGAAAGTTTTGTGCTTTTGAAAAAAAGCTACAAATATTTTACAGAATAGAATTGCTCATCTTTGATTTTAATTTGAAGACATAATTTCTATATAAAATTACATGAAGAAATTCTTTAACACTACTGGGCACTGGTGGCTCATGCCTGTAATCCTACCTATTCAAGAGGCTGAGATCTGAGGTAACGGTTCAAAGCCAGACAGGGCAAGAAAGTCTGTGAAACTCTTATACCAATAAACCATCAGAAAACCAGAAGGGCATTGTAGCTCAAGTGGTAGAGCGCTAGCCTTGAGCTGAAGCACTGAGGGACAGCACTCAGGCCCAGAGTTCAAGCCCCATGACTGACCAAAAAAAAATCTTTATCATTATATTTAAATGTGATTTTCTTGTTGTTTATGGGTTAGGTGGACCTTTTCTGAAGGACTGCACTTCCATTCAAAGGGTTGCATCAGCCTCAATTGTCACCCTCTATTTCACAGACCTGGGTCGACAAGTCAGTTGGACCACCGTAAGTGTAATTTGCAATGCAATATTCATGTCCCATGTTTTGTTTTAAGTAATTTCTATTAATAGAAAAACAAAGTATTATCATGAAAGGTATTAAACTTATTTTCTTTTGCTTATCAGTGGCCATAATTTTTTTTCAAGTTTGGATTGATCGAAAGTATAGTTGAATAAAAGAAATAAATTCCCCCCTTTTTAGCATCAACCCATCTTATGACTGAGAACTCCATATCTGCTATTCTTATCTCTTATCAATGGAATTGTATGTCTGTACCTTTTGCCTCTAGGAGTCTAGAATATCAGAGATCCTCTTGACATTGGAAAGAGTAAAGACAGAATATTTTATTTAAAACGAAATTTCTAGATGAACATTCCTATAATTTTTTTAGAGGATGGAGGTTTGAATATAGTCCAGGAAGAAAGATCCATGGGAAGCTCCAGTTAATCAGCAAAGATCTAGAAGTAGACGTGTGGCTTAAGTGACAAAATAGTAGTCATGAGTAAATGCAAAGCAAGAGCATGAGGTATGATTGACACAAATAATAAAGTAAACCCAAATCAAAACCATATGACCATATAAGATGATGCTCTAAGATATGGAAATGAGGATTTTTGTTGTTGTTGTTGTTGCTCCTGGGGCTTGAACTCTGAGCCTGGGCACTGTTCCCGAGCTCTTCAGCTCAAGGCCAGCATCGACCACTTGAGCCACAGCACCACTTCTGGTTTTCTAGTGGTTAATTGGAGATAAGAGTCTCCCAGACTTTCCTGAACTGGCTGGCTTTGAACGGTAATACTCATATCTTAGTTTCCTGAGTAGCTAGGATTACAGGCATGAGCCATTGGTGCCCGCCCTTTGTTGTTTTTCATAGACTGTGTGAAGTTATTTTTTTCTTTCTTTTTTTTTCACCTTTGATTAATCTTCTGTTGTCACACTATATGATATTGGCACCCTGTGGCTTGAATATAAGTTTATCTGATTTGGGAAAGGGAAGGGAAACAACAAAATGGTGAGACAAAGGACAAAGGTTGAACCAGTACAACAGCAATACTCACAAGACAATATGGTGGAAATGAATGTTACAACTTGGGCGGAAGGGAGTTGCCGTGTAGGGAAAGTGGGAAAAAAAGAGGGAGGAGGTCAATGTGTGACAAGAAATGTACTCATTAACTTAAGCAAGTAACTGTAACCCTCTGTACATAACTTTGACAATAAAATTAAATTAATTAAAATCAAAACAATTCGGGGCTGGGAAGGTGGCTCAGTGGTAGAGTGCTTGCCTTGCATGCATGAGGCCCTGGGTTCGATTTCTCAGCACCACATAAGCAGAAAAAGGTGGAAATGGTGCTGTGGTTCAAATGGTAAAGCACTAGCCTTGAGCTGAAGAGCTGAGGGACAGTGCCCAGGCCCAGAGTTCAGGCCCCATGAACTACAAAATAAATACAAAAACAAACAAAACAACAAGAACAACAATAAAAATGGAAGCATAAGAAAGAAGTCAAACACTTCAGAAAGTCTGAGAATGAAGGAGCAAAACTTCTTTTCACTTATGGAAATATACCTTTCACTTTTCTCAGATGACAAAAGTTTTCAGAATAGTCCTACGTGAAATCAATGCCATCAGAAAAAGGAGCACTGCAATAAAGTAGATGAAGGGCTCAAACGCAGTGAAAATAATTGACATTAGTCATAAATATTGAAGTTTGAATTTCTGAGTGATGGAATAAAACCATAGCAATGCTTCAATAGCAAGAGTAAAGAATACAGGATTCAATGTCAGTGAATGAGGCAATCTGATAAATAATTTTGACACTGATATACAAAAAAATAGTGTGCTGTATAGTGTATTTTTTCACAAAGAAAACACCTGATGTATTATTTAAACTTTGAAAGTCTTTGCTATCAATTACATTGCATTTTATATTTAAAATGTGACTATTTTAATACTATTAAACGTTGATTTATTCTGTGTAAGTTTTAAAAATATTATTAGTTTAGTTCATGCTTTGTTCCTTAATTCTCTAAAATAGAAAATTAAATTTACATTTCATGATAAAATGTGTCTTATGAGATATATTTTGGAAGGAATATCTGTTACTGCTAAATGACTGTTTTAGTTTAAAAAGTGTATTTCATTTTTAAGTGCTAATTTGTTGTACCACAAACACAATTTACAACTTTCTAACTCCTCCAAAAGTATAGTTGGTATATGCAACTCATGAACAACCTTTGAGTATGTCTAAGTATTGATTATATAACTTACTCAAAGGTACTGGAAGTTGTTAGATATGCTGATTTACCAAGAACATTGAAATATTCCAAAAGTCTCTGCCTACCTTTATGATAAAAAAAGAATTTTATTTACAGACCTTTTTTTTTTTCAGAGAGCAGTACTAGCCATGAGTTCATTGGAAATTTCTATTTGTATATTTTGGGTTAGCATTGAGAAGATAGTCTGTGATGTAGGATTCTATCGTTACTGTACTAGCAAATTATATCTTATTTGAGAGGGAAGTGACAAAGGGAACTCCGGAAAAAGGCTAAATATTTTTAAACCAACCCTGTGTTTCAGGCATTCTTTTGTTCCAAGTGAGTCAGTTCTATTAATTACTAAAAATGCATATTACATGGCAATCACATCCATTTTATTTCAACTAACTACATCAGCAAAAGCAGGATTGTACTTTCTATAGCATTCTTAGGTATTTCTTGCATATTAAAATATGATCCTATAATTAAGACTTTGAAAGCACACAAAAATACATTCCTATAAAAAACATTTGGTAAAGTTTTGGGAAACTAATTTAGCAAGGATAAAATTAATATTTGAATATTATTTTTACCACATAAGAGTGTATCATAACAACTGAAAAAAAACCCTCCCTCCCTTACTAAAAGACATAGATTGTAGGTTAATATAATGATATAACAATATACTAATAACAAAAGATCTTAGTGGTCACTCACTGAAGGTCTTTCATTGCCTATATTTACATTTGTCTATATATTCAGCTTTAATTTGTTTCTGGCATAAATTTATATATGTACCACCCAAATCAAGATAAATAATTGTTTTTCTCCGCAGAAGAGAATGTTATCCCTACATATTCTCTCTCATGGGGCAATCACCCATCGATTCTTTACCTCCATATTTAAAAAAAAATTCCTATAAAAATACAAAAGACCCTCAATAGCCAAAGCTATCCTTAGCAAAAAGAACAATGAGGGGTTTAGCACAAAATCTGACCTCAAATTTTACTACAAAGCTAGAAAATATGAGATGTAATGACTGGTGGAAGCACATGAGTCATAATTACATTTCAATTTCGAATTTTAACTCATAGTTATTAAAACAGTTTATTGCCCTCTCATTTGGTCTTCTGTATATGTAGGCCATGTCTACATAGATTCAACCAGCTATCAATCCTATACTACATAGTAAAACTTACAGTAGTTGTGTCTGTACAGATACACCCTTTCATACTTTAAAGAATACAATATGCCAATTAATTATATAAAAGATTTTGTTATCTTATGTAAGAAATGTAGGTGTTAGAGAATACAGGAAAATATATGTCAATGATATACAAATGGGATGTAAAAAGGATATTACCTCAATAGTGAAATTACTTCCACACAGGTAAAAAAGGTATCTATCTATCTAAATTTGAAAAGTCTGTAGAGATTCCAAAGTCTCCCAAATACTTGCTTGCCTGGTAGAATCACTGGATTTTTATTTTTTATTAATAGAACAAAGTAATTTATTACACATGGTAGAAAAAAGATAGAAGTAAAATCTGATAATGGAGGTAAATTATAATTTAATTGTATTTGCACCTTCAAAATAATAAGTTATAAATATATAGAATTTTTACTTTTGAATTGTAATGGAGTTTCTATTGTAGGTAAGTTCTCATAACTTACTGTGTTCATATATTCATCTGCATTGCTTGTTTAAATTTGATTTGGGTTTGTTTATACTATTTTATAAGAAAAAAATCCATATACAGAATATCTCATATAAATATTTGTGCACATATCCTTGGTTTTTTAATACTGTAATGATTTTGATTACTTTCTAAGTTTAATACAAGCAACTTTCATCATTTCTTACATTTACAATCAAATGAACTATATTGAAAGTTACATTGTTCAAAAGTTACTGTTATTCTCCAGTGCCTTCAAAATATATACTTCATATTTTGGCATTGTTCTAACCGTTATGTTTCAGTATCAGTATTTGTGATAAAATATTGAGATTCTTAAATATCCAAGTATTCAAAAACACTTTCCTGAATTAAATCACAGAGCTAAGAATATAATTTAATTTCCTCTGACCCAAAGAAACTTCATGTATCTGACTTCTGACATGTGATAAGATTTTATTAATGTAATAAATAGTGTCATGTAATCTAGTTTAACTATTACTTATGACATTGTTCATTTCTAGTTTACTCAAAAATTTCAATAGCATTTGCCAAAATTGGATTTTTTTGTCAGTTTTAGGGTGTGATCTCGGGGCCTTGGTGTTGTCCCTGAACTTTTTCACTCAAGGTTAATGCTCTACTACTTTGAACCCCACTGCCATTTCTGGCTTTCTGATGGTTAATTAGAGATAAGAATTTCAGGGACTTTCTTGCTCAGGATGGCTTTTATCCCCATATCTCAGCCTCTGGAGTAATTAGGATTACAGGCATGAGACACTGGTTCCTGGCTTCAAATTTTATTTTATTAGATCAGATGTTTGAATAAATGTCTTATACCACTTGATAAAACTTTATTGAAGACTATTGACTAGATTTAGTTATATGCCACTATGACCAGTGGCATATATTTTATTTATTTAAGCATTGTAGCTATAGTGAATTCCCTCCAGGATTGTGAACAACTTCTTTTTCTCCCACTTTTTCATGAGTATCAATTAGCTGTACAAGGGGATTTCAGTTTTACATGTCTACATATGTGCATACAGTGTTACTTGATTAGACACACCTGTCATCCTCTCATCTCCACTCATTTCCCAAATGATACTCAACATTTCATTTTCCACACATGTGCATAAGTTTTTGAAGATATTTAACTCATCTCGTCCACACTCCATAGTACCTCTAGGAGCAGACAGAAAAAAGAGAAAATATGAAGTAAGAAAAGAGGGAAGTAAAGAAACAGAATCAAGTACCTTAGTAAATCTATTTAGAGTCAAAGACAGTTCACTTGGCAGACTGATATTCACTTGTCCATTTCACCAGCTCATATTTAGCTGAATTCTCATGAACATAGGTAAGTTTACTAAATCATCTCCAAAATTTGACTGCTCAGTCTAAACCAATTTCTCATTTCCAGGTATTTTTGGCTGAATACACAGGGCCTCTGCTAATATACCTCCTCTTTTATCTGAGAATCTCCTATATATATGATGTGAAAGAAAGTTCTAAAAAAGTACGCCACCCTGTAGTACAGTAAGTATTATATACAATATATACTGTAAATATAAAAGAAAAGATGATTCTGCATGCTCTCAAACTGATAGACATATTGGTAAACCCATCAAAAATGAAACTATCTTAAGTAATGTTACACTTTATACATCTAAATTTTAGAACAGAATCTTTTGATTTAACTGCAGAGAATTGACAGTTCACCATTTTTGATCATCTGATATGAAGTTGCTGTCATCTGATCAACATCAGGAAAATGTATCATGGACTTATCACCAGGATGAATAAAACATTAAAAATCATATTTCAAAGTATAATAGGTACTAAATAGATAGGGTAGCCATACCATAATACAGTCCAGGACCTTCTGAAGTAAGCAACTACTGTTAATTAAAATTGTATGGAAATGTAACTAAAATAGACTTAATTGGAGGAAAGTTTATTTTAGGTAGCAAATATTCATACAAATTTGCAATTTTATAAACATGAACTATATTAAGTATGCCACAGTACTTACTAATAATACTGATCAGAGCAAACAAGACAAATGAGAAAACTTAAAGCATCTGCAAAAGAAATAGTTAAAATAATAAAGAATCAATCTATAGAGCTCAAAATATAAATTCTTCTCTACAAAACATAGGCAATATTGTACACACAGATATAATGTACCTAATAAAAATTCATAATTTATTTTTATAATTCAAATGCATGTTTAAATAACATTTTGTAATCAATTTTATTATAAGGGTGATACACAAAGGGGTTACTGTTATATAAGTGAGGTAATGAGCACATTTCTTTTGTAAGAGTGTAACCTCTTCCCTCATTTTCTCTCACTTTTTCCCCTCCTTACCCCTCTTCCCTAATAATTTGTAAATTTCATTTACAACACAGTGTCTAATATCACTCTTGAATTGATTCATCCTTTGTCCTACCATTTCTGTGATTTCCCTCTCTTCCCCAAATCATATAAAATGATGTACAAGACAAAGGGTATAGAAATAAAAATAGTGACATCAGAGAAAAAAAAAACAAAGGAAAAAAGAAATAACTGGAAAAAAAAACACCTTTTTTGTTTCCATTTCTTTGAGTTCATTTTGATTCTTAGGAGAGGATCACAATGGCACAATAGTCTATGTGCATGTGACCAAATAGAGAACATTTTTTTTAATTTTTTTGGGTCCGGTCGTGGGGCCTGAACTCTGGGCCTGGGTACTGTCCTCAGCTCTTCAGGTCAAGGCTAGTACTCTACCACTTGAGCCACAGCACCACTTCTGGCTTTTTTCTTTTTGCTTATGTGGTGCTGAGTAATCGAACCCAGGGCCTCAGGCATGCAAGGCAAGCACTCTACCACTGAGCCACCTTCCCAGCCCATAAAGAACATTTTTAAGTGAGAATATTTCATTCAAAAATTATGACAACATTTTAATCTCTTTAGCCCACTTATTACTGGGGTGGTTGTTTCTTTGAGGATTTGTTCTGGGGTTTAATTTTTTTAGCTGTAGGTACAATTTATATATGAGGCCCTTCTCTGTTGTATAGCTAGTGAAGATCTTCTCCCAATCTGTGAGCTTTTTGTTTATCTTGCTAGCTGTGTCCTTTGCTATGTAGAATCTGTGCAGTTTAATGCAATTCCATTTATCCAGCTTCTCTTTGATTTGTTGTGTTTCTGGATCTTTATTAAGGAAGTTTCAACTTGTGCCAAGGAGCCCTAATATATCCCCTATCCCTTCCTATAATATTTTCAAGGTATCTGCTCTTCCCTTCTTATAATATTTTCAGGGTATCTGCTCTTAGCCTGAGGTCTTTAATCCATTTGGAGTTGGTTCTGATGCAAGGTGATATATAAGGATCTAACTTCTGTTTTCTAAACATGTTTGGCCAATTATGCCAGCACCATTTGTTGAAGAGACTATTGATTTTCCATCTGATGATTTTTGGCTCTCTTATCAAAGATTAGGTGGTCATAGGTATATGGGATCATTTCTGGGTCTTTAATTCTATTTCATTGGTCCTCATATCTGTTCCTGAGCTAGTACCAAGCTGTTTTTTTTTATAACTATGGCTTTACAATAGAGTTTGAAGTGTGACAGTGATATTCCTCCAGCACTGCTTTTCCTGCTAAGAATTGTTTTTGCTATTTGGGGTCTTCTATTATCCCATATGAAATTGTGGATTACTTCTATTTTTAAAGGATATTTTTGGGATATTTTTGGGTATCACATTGAATTGAATTGTGATACTAGGAGTATGGGAGGTGTTTCCACCCCCTCTCCCTACTTTCTTACATCTGTTTAATTTATTTTTTCAGGTTTTTAGGGTTTTCACCTAGAAGTCCTTCACTTCTTGGTTACATCTTTGTAACTTCTAAGTTAATTCCTAGGTATTTTTTTGAGGCTACTAAAAATGGAGTTGTTGTTTTTTTTTTTTCTGATTTCAGCCCTACTCTTCTCATTGTTAGGCTACAGAAAACTTACTGATTTTGGTGGGTTAATGTTGTACCCTAATACTTTACCAAAATTTTGGATCAGTTCAAATAATGGGAGTTGAGGCTATAGGGTCCTTTAAATATAGGGTCATCCCATCTACAAAGAGGGAGAGTTTTATTTGTTCTTTCCCTATTTGTATCCCCTTTATGTTTGCCTTTTGCCTTACTGCTTTGGCTAGGCATTCCAATACTATAAGGAAGAGAAATGGAGAGAACAGACATCCTTGTCTAATTCCTAATTTTAGAGGAAATGGTTTTAACTTTTCACCATTAATTATAATGCTAGTTATAGATTTATCATATACCACGTTTATTATATTGAGGAATGTTCCACGGATTCCTAGTTTCTCTAGAGCTTTCATCAGAAATGTGTGTTGGAAAGAGACTTTCCTGGAGAGGAAATATGAATAGCCAATAGACACATGAATAAATGTTCAACATCTCTCTGGCCATAAAAGAAATACAAATCAAAACTACATTTAGATTCCACCTCATCTCAGTCAGAATGGCTATTATCAAGAAAATATAATGATAACAGATGCTGATAAGGTTGTGGCTCAAAGACAACACTACTACCCTGTTGGTGGAAATGTAAACTGGCTTAAGCATTCTGGAAAGTAGTGTGCAGGTTCCTTAAAAAATTAAACACATAGCTTCCCTATGATCCAGCAATCCCACCCTGAGCATTTACCCAAATGTTCTCAAGCAAGGTCACACTAAAGCTACCCCTCCATATATCACCTCTACAATAAAACAAAACATTTTTTTTAAAACTTGGCAATTATCAAATCACACTATATAATTATTATAATGTATTGTGAAGATAAATTCATTTTTTCTCTCTTGTCACTTAGAGAGTAAAGGCACATAGAATAATTCACCAGATGCATTAGGGTATACAGTTACAAATTATAAGAATATAAAAAGGAACAAATATTGCATGTTAAAAATGTCCTAAGAGTCGGGCGCTGGTGGCTCATGTTTGTAATCCTAGCTACTCAGGAGGCTGAGATCTGAGGATCACAGTTCAAAACCAGCCTGGGGAGGAAAGTCCATGAGACTCTTATCTCCAATAAAAACCACTAAAAAAATCGGAAGTAGCGCTGTGGCTCAAGGGGTAGAGTTCTCACCTTGAGCTGAAGAGCTGAGGGACAATGCCCAAGCCCAGAGTTCAAGCTCAACGACCAACCAAAAAAAAAAAAAAGATGCCCTAAGAAGATTAGAAAGCAAAACATAAATATTTAGGTCAGGTAGATATTAAAATCAGGAGCACAACTTTTCTTCTCAAATTAACATTTCTGTTACCATCAATCACTCTGTTCCCATCCCTAAGACTTTCTTTCTTGTCCTAATTACCCACTGTGTTCCAATTATATTAGGGCATATATTCATGGCTTCCCTTTCCCATTTCCTCCATCTTTTTATTTCCTTTTTTTGGAATTCAAATAGAAAGCCAATATTTATTACTCAGAAGAGCCATTCATAGTTCTTTCATAATAAATGTCTTCCTAAGGTGATTTCCTACTAAAGTGGTTTTCATCTAATCATCATCAGCTCATTCCTGTCTCTCTAAACTTTTCAGTGTATTTCATAATGGATGTTTTTTCACATTAATTCCATTTTCACATCTGGACATCATATCTAAGACACAAGGGATGGATATTCAATAAAATGTTTTGAAAGACTAGTTGTATATTTCACTTTGGATCCATTGAATGGGAGTTCTAAGAATGTAATGCTAATCATGTAACACTAAATATTTTTTATAATTTTTCCATGGAAAGGTCATATTTCAGTTTAATTTGAGAATCATCATGTGGGAATGATAGCATACGTGAATTAATTTAGTTCACTGCAGGCACGAGAAGAAGGCTAGTGCTCCAGGCATAGTGATGCTACAGGAAAATTGACCTTCCGTAATAATTGTCTGGTCTAGGAACACTCAACAAATACTAAGTTCTCCTTTCTTTTCTTTAAAAAATTATCTTTAATTAGTTGTGCAAAGGATTTGCAATTTAATAAAGCAGTTTATGCATGAAATGCATCTTTGCCTTAGGAGTTAGAGCACCAGCTAATATGCGAAAGTGTCTCTTACCAAGTTTGAGTCTTGGTCTCAGACCAAAACAAAACAAAAACAAAAACATCTCTTTTACTTAAATGAAAAGAAATGCCCGCTCCATTTATACAGTGAAGTGGAGAATTTGAAAAGAGGATTTTAAATTTTATTTTAGTCTTTAAGTATTGAAAAGGAGTTGCAATTCAGAAAAGTAGTATATGAATAGAATGAATTTTGGTCACTGTCCACCATCATTCTTCCAAAACCACAACTTCCCTCAAATTTCAACTGCATTTTCTCCTCTTCCTCTCTTTATGCTCAACCACTGATCCCAGTTCCCCTTTCAAGTACCTGTTCCCTGGTTTTTATTTTATTAGCCTTCCTAAGAAACTACACAATTTCAGTTATTTTTCTCTTAAATATGGAAGCTAGAATTCATATATAAATGCATTACTATACACTTCAGGATAGTACACAAGTATATTAACCGAAGTATGGTAGATACATAGGAACACATATTTTTATAGCAAATATGTACCATCAAAGTGACATGAAGCAAAATGAGAAAAATCGTTTTAGCAGCATTCGATAAAAAATGGATTAACGGTGGTTACTATTCTTAAACACAAGCACAGCGTGTTTTAAAACAACTGTGTAAATATATTAATGCAACATTGTTCCCAAACAGCAAATATGTTAAGTTTGTATAAATAATTTCAGAGTAGAAACATAAACATTTTGAAAATTTAGGAATTTAGTAGAGCCTTATTAAGTAATGTTGAAGGTGCTAAGGCACTACTGTCAGGTCAGGATGGCCTGTAAAGTCCATTTTAAAATGTCAAACAATCCAATGACATGCATTCAAATATTAAATCTCCAAAATTGCTTTGAGTCATAACACCCAATCAAACTTCAATTTTGCTAATTTTCGTGCAAGAAGCAGATCTCTATGTATGATTCAAACACCACAAAATTCTTTATGTATCATAAGTCTTTCAAATTGGAACTCAAGGCATATCTGCTTTCAGAATCTCTAGCCCATTAACTGTTTTCTGGACACCAACCGATTTTTCACCTGCAACCTCATGAGCACCTCCTGCCTCCTGTGCAGATTGGTAAAATTGAAGTCATCCGGTCTTAAACCTCATCTCTTCACACCTACTTGATAACAGATGATATTTTCAAATGCTATAATTGGGGGACAATGTGTCAAATCCAAATTTCACTAACAGTTGATTTAACAATGGATAAAGAAAATCTTAATGTTTTCTGTGATGTAAAATATAATTAAATAGAGAAAATATGGCTCTATATGAAATCAACTTGCTGAATGAATAACCGGGGCTGTCTAATGTGACATTGTTTAAACAAGGCTCTAAATTGTTTGTATGTTTGTTTCTACGCTTTTGTATTGTAATTTACAAAAAGCCAATGACAATGTAGAACTGGCTTCTTTTGAACCCAAGTTTCTTGTACAAGACTGTACTGTATTGTTGAGCTAAATTTTTATGCTTTTTAAATGTTTTTTTATTGTAAAAATAGTGTGCAGAGGGGTTACAGTTACGTGAGTAAGGTAATGAGTATATTTCCTATCAAGCATTGTTATCTCCTCCTCTCTTTTTCCCCTACCATCCTTTTTCTCTCAACCTCCCCAACTCTCCCACCCCTGAAGTTGTAAAGTTCATTTTCAACATAGTGTCTTGTGCATCTCATTGTTACAATGGGTCAACCTGTATCCTTGTTTCAACATACTGTTATTTCTTTTCCCCTCCCCAAATTAGAAAAATGTATATACAAGATGCAGGGCACCGAAATCAAATACAGTGAAAATGGGGTTATAATACAGTGAAAACAGGGTTATACTGTGGGGAAAGAACATACACGAGAAACAAAAACAATCACATAATACATTTTAGATATGTTAAAAACGGTAGCATGCAAGAAAAAACAAGTTGTGCTTTTTTTTTTTTTTTTTTTTTTTTACAAAATGGACAGCTCTATTTCTTAGAAATGTTCATAGAGCAACCAGAACATCCTCCCATGTCAGGAACTGGGCTATGTACAAAGCTGATTCTGCACTCATCTAATTGTGTGTCATCACCTAATATTCAGAATTATTAGCATGCAAATAGATATATCATGTATCTCAGTAACAGATGTTTGCTTATATTTATATGAATCAATAAAGAAAAATAGATACTCTACTTTCTTAACTAGGTTAATGAGGTTTAGTATGTTTTATTTTTATTAAATTCACAGTTGATCATATAAAAAATTACCCATTTTCTTAAAATAAATGACAGTTCAAAAATAAGTCTAATGTTTTGATTTATAATTTTGCATAGAGTGTGTGAAGAACCAATTTTGGGGGGTTTTACTTTTTTAAAATAATAACATAAGCATAAAACTAAGTGGAAAGCATTATTATATACTGGAATATGTACCATTGCAAATCATATTTGACATCTACCTTTGAAATAGTCACTATATAAAAATGATGAGATGTTAAATTAAAACACCATAGAAACAAACACACCAATAAACAAAATGATACATACATGTTAGATAGAAAAACACACAGAAAAACATCAAACAATTATAATAAAAACAAAATGCTGCATTATAATTGAAGAGAAAATGAAATTCAAGTTTTTTTAATCTTAGTACTTTCTAAAGGACAACTGGATAATTAAAAAGGTATTGGTGCATTATAAAATGTCAAATGAATTCTAAGTAGGATTTGAGTATTTTTAAACTTGTAAAATGTCTGTTTCCTTTTTGACACATTGATGTGCACACATTTGAAATTATATTTATGATTATTCCTTGGGCAGATGTGAACATAATTATGATTGGTATTATAAAATATTTCTAGTTTAATTAGGAGTAAATCTGGAGGCTCATAGCAGTTACTTTCATTACCAAATAAATGCTGAAAATTTCTAGAATGAACTGTTCAAATGAAAAGAAGTATGTTTGATTAACATAAATAACACTTCCTAACTAACTGAACATTTTGGCCAACTAATAAAAATTTAAAAGTTTATGAAATGTTGACCCAGATTTAAGGAAAGAATTAATGTCTGTATGTGTTTCTGTTCTGTTCTTTTTGTTTGTTTCTTTCTTTCTTCCAGTTTGGCTTGCTTCTGCCATTGTATTCACTACATACGATTTCTTTTGGAAACTTTATTTGTTCACAAAGTTTCTACAGGATATACACCTTTGAAAAACTTAATAAAGGTAAGTGTTAATATGTTTCACATTTTAACTATTCTTGAAAATTTTTGCTTCTGAAATGTTTTGCAAAATGTTCAGTCGTGTATTTTCTTTGTAAGACTAAGGTTTTGTGACTAATGCTGTTGCTGTGCATTAAGCATTTTGTAAATGACAGTTGTAGGTGATCTTTTTTATTTGTGTTCCCAGTTAGTTGAAAAGGAAATTAATCATTATTGTATGTCATGATTATTTATAGTAGATAGTCCAGAGAAATACCAAGATGTGAAATTTTATCACGATATAAAAATAAGAGTTGTGTGTTAAACCCAACTATTCCCAAATTGAAGATAGTTTATTTTCTTAAGCAAAATAGAATAGTACAAATGTTTAAATGTTTTCTCCTTTATTCATTTATTAAAAATATTTTGTGAAAAGATTAGTCCATATTTTCAAAGGAAAAATTGTTGCATTCTTTTAAACTATGAAAGTTAAACTTGACATGTCACAAAATCTCAAAGGTTAATTAAATACATAAAAATGGACATATTTTATTAGAGATAAAATTCCATTGTCTTGTGTGAAGACACATTTATTATTAAATACTGCAGTATGTAATTTAAAATGATAAAATATAAGTAATGGATTTAATAATTACTGTTTTGCTTTGTTTTAAATTTTAGGGTTGTGCCTTTTATTGGATATTCACTTCTTGGATTGCCTACTACATTAATCACCCACGATATACACCACCATGTAGGTGAAATTCCTTCTTGGCTAACCCCACACTAAATTACCAATATCTAAGCTCTGATCTGAATCTCATTGAGAACAAAAGCAGTAGGATATACTTAGAAGTTTCATTAAAATTGTCAAGTTTAAATTGTTCCTGTATCACAATTCATCCAAATGAAAGACTTGAAAGACTAAATTGCTGACTTCAAGTTTTTGTTTTTGTTTTTGTTTTTTTACTTTAAGTTTTTTAATCACTAAACAATCTTGAGTCAAATTAACTGATGATACAATACTATGAGATTTGATACTAGGAAAGGTGAAGATTGGAAAGGAAAATTTTCATATAGTTATACAATTATTTACTATTAATTAACAAATGTTTAAAAATTAATGATAATCATTATTTTAAATATCATTCATTATGGAAAAATAGAGCATTTGTTTCTCTAACACACTGCTTTCTACTTTTAACTTAATTAAATAATTACTTGACTCAAATCAGCAGCAATTTTGAGAAAAGCTCAGTGAGTCAAGATCAAATCCTAGTTCATAATATTGTGACTGAGCAATTCCATTTTCTTATCTAGTGTTAATTTTCTTCTTCTCATACCACAGCCCAAGTACACAAGAGGAATCAAATCATTAAATTCTTTTCCATTTAAATGACAATAATTGATTTTAACTAATTCATCATAAGACATACTTATAAAACCTTTATACATAGATATGTTATTTCTTATACGTTTAATGAGAGGAGCTGTGGAAAGGTTACCTTCTCGCATGAAATACGAAGTAATAAAAACATATTTTCTTTATGTATAAATTGGTGATTAAAAAGCATTTGCAGAAAAGTATAAATTTTCAGGTAACTTCCAGGGATTATGTTTATAATTCTATTAACTTTGGAGGTAGAGATAAAAGAACTGAAGTTCAAGGCTACACCAAATAAAGTCAGTGGTACTCCACCTGAAGAAAAAAGTTGGTGGGTCATGTTTATAATCCCAGCTACAAAAAAAAAGATCAAGGTCCAAAATCAACACCATTATTTTTTAGAAAAATGTAAGTATCTGTATACACTTACCCAAGACCATATAACCAGTTCTATTACTTAACATAGAATTTAAAACAGCATCCCAAAGACACTTTGGTCATGGTAGAGAAGATGGAATATGCACAGTACCATTGGTTAGCGAGTAGTTATCTACAATAATCGTTGGTTAGAGAGTAGTTATATCCAATAATACTTGGAAATATGTCTGTATATTTTTGTAGAGTGTAACTCAGAAAAATAAAGTTTTTTTCCCATAATGTCTTCTTTTCCTATTGTTTAGCATTTGGAACCAGGCAAATCACAGTGTCTGCTATCAATTTTCTGGTAGGTATCACATGTCTATTTGATACTTCTTCAACTTTGTTTTTGGTAAGCTTACAAAACGCATTGTATATGAAGAATTTCTATGTGATGAATGTAATCTATTTGATATGATAGATGTAATAATATATGCAACGGAGCAAGTCAAATAACTTTGTAATCTAGTCATTAGCATTCTAAATCTTTAAAGAATTAAAAGTATAGCAAATATTTAGGGGGAAAACCACATTCACAGTCACTTCTTCCTGTTATCTCCACATTTACCAACTTACAAACCTCTAGGAATAAAAAAATACTAATTTGAATGTAAATATCCAAAATTCTTTCAAGAAGAATGTTGAATTTATCTAACTCAATATGAACACAAAGGTTGTCTTTTTTCTTTTTCTTTCTTGCTCTCATTTATTTGTTCATTCATTTGTTACTTCCTTCCTTCTTTTCTCTACTTTATTTCTTCTGGGGATTTTATCCAAGATATCAGCTATTTTCAGATTGTTCTCAATCTGATTCTTCACATCATTCTATAAGCCAGCATGTGATTACACTATATAGCTTGAAATGCTTTATTTTATTAGGTACATAATTATTTCACTTTAATACACAGTATACCTACATGAATTCATCCTCCATTGTTAAAATTCTTCTCTCATTACTGTTCTTAATAGATAAGATTAAAAAAAGAAAAGCTTATGGTTTCAGGATAGGTAGGTAGTGTTGAGGATATGAAAAAAAGTAAAAGTGAAAATAATGAATACGATTTCATTCCATAGCAAGTAGAAAATCACAGATCAGATGAGAGATGCTATGCTTTTCCTAAAAACAAAAACAATGATGACAAATACAAGAAGCCTACCAGACCTGGTATTTCTTAATAACTACCATATGTATGCAAATGAGATTTAATATTTTACAAATAATGTTTCTAATTTATATACATTTTAGTAATTGGATGACATTAAGTGATTAATAACTGATGATCTAATAAAATATGCAGAGATCATCTGGTCCAGGGGACTTACCTATATTTCAGGAATCCATGTATAAGGAAAATTCACAAAGTCATTCATGATAATTGATCCCATTCAGGATAATTGAGAAACTGTAGGTATGAATTCTTAATGTATAGATAAAAAGTGTTAGAAAAGAATAAACAACATATTTTACAGCCAGAAAATTTTCTCCTTTTTTTTTTTTGCAAATTCTTTATTGTGATTAAGTGATTACATAATTTCACAAATTTTACAGTATTGTGGGATAGGGATGCTTAGTTAAAGTCACAAACACATTCTAATTTTCATGGCGCAAATTGTCTATTATAGTCTATAAAGTTCATGAGTTCTATGAGTTTTGACAATAGTTATTTCTTCCACATCGGGTGATGTGTACATTCCTTTCTTTTTGCCTAGTGTCGGCTATTCCCTCTTTTCCATTGCTGCCATTGAGTTGCTCAGTTCATTTTATATTAAAAGTTTAACAACATGCAGTGAATTCAATTGCAAGAGAAAAAGAATGAGAGAGAAAATGATTGGCATTGAATAATTCACTATTTTGTTTGCGGGAGGGTCCAGTCATGGGGCCTGAACTCTGGGCCTGGGCGCTGTGCCTCAGCTCTTCAGCTCAAGGCTAGTGCTCTACCAGTTGGACCACAGCACCACTACCGGCTTTTTTTCTTTTTGCTGATGTGGTGCTGAGGAATCGAATCCAGGGCCTCATGTATGCACGACAAGCACACTACCGCTGAGCCACCTTCCCAGCCCCTGAATAATTCACTATTAAACAAAAATTGTATCTCAATTGAAAATTACTAATTTCTGCTCACATTTTATACTTGCCCAAGTTCTGGTTTTTATTTATTGATCTTGTCACTTCTTTAACAAATGAAAAAATACATTACTCATTTAAAGTTGATCAAGCTTCTGTTGTTATGAAGAATTAGCTTATCATCTGGCAAGAAAATGACATATTAGAATTACATAGAGTGCTATTTTGATGGTAGTTGATTCTTGATTAGTCAGGTGTAGCTTTTATTTTTTTTGATCTATTAACAATTATAATTTTCTCTTTGGCTCCCTGTGATTTATTTTACTGCCATGCAGAATTATCTAATATTTTATGCAAAATATATTGTAAATGAAACAAAATCTATGCACATAATGGAAACCAAAATGTGGCAACTAATTTATTCTTGGATATTATTTGATTTCAATGAGTTGTGCCAGATTATTTTTATGTTGTAAAGATATTTTCCCTGTACTTTGTTTAATATTTTTCTGCCTTTTTATCATTCTAGTATATCCAGGATTCAGAACTTTACAGGGAAAAATAAACAGATAAAAATACAGAAAAATTAATAGAGAATAGAATATTAATGTTTAAAAGTTTTAGGTGCAAATTTGTTCTACTCTTGTCAAAATAGTAGATAAATAATATTTTCTTTTTTATTTTTAATTTTAATTTATCATCAAGGTGATATACAGAGGGGTTACAGTTACATAAGTAAGGTAATAAGTACGTTTATTATCGAACTTGTTACCCCCTCCCTCATTTTATCCCTCATTCTAAATCCCCCCCAAGTTGTACAGATCATTTCCAACATCTAACCTTGTGAATATCACTGTTGCATAGGTTCCCCTTTGTCCTTTGACTAACCATTTTGTTGTTCCCCTTCTCTCCCCTAATTCAAATAAATTTATACACAATGCACAGGGTACAAAAATTGAATGCACTGACAACATGGGATGAACCATAGGGGGAAAAGTCACAAAAGAAATAAAATAACAGTACATTAAGAACAACCACAAAGAAAAGCCTCGTGTCCATGTCTGGTGGTTCACTTTGATTAGCATCATCTTAAATGGCTATATAGGTACATAGCTATTGAGCTATTTGTCTCATCTGCTAAGATTATCATAGATGTATACTAATTATAGCAAATAAAGGAAACTATGGGACCTGTGGAGACTATTTTCATTTCTGCATGCTTTAACAGTTTTCATTCTCATTATCTAATCCTACTTAGAAAGCAACAAATAAAATACTATATTCTATACTCAAAGTTGTCAATGGGCTATGTTTTATGTAAGTAAAAATCCCTATTTTTATTACCAATGTTTCCTCTCCACTTAATGTTCACATTGTAGAAAGCAATTATGTCTTTCCAGTTAGCTCAGTAAGTATTTTTTAAATATTTGTTTCCATTTTCTCTTTTACTCTGCTCAGCAACTTACCAAATTAAACATGTAGCTATTAACATTTAAGGTAAGTATTCAAAGTCCTGAAAATCACTTTGCCCATTTTTGTCTTTACTGTTGCCATTCATTTCAGGGATTTTATTTTTAGAAAAATGGAAATATTCCTGGAGAAGAAAAAATATGTGAGTCTCAAGTAGGCACGCCTTGTCTTGTATGATTTGGGTGAAAGGAGCCTCAGGCATAGAAGAGGTAATTTTTGATTAGTGAAGAGTCCAATGGGAAGAATGTATTAAAGGCTTTAATAGATATAGCATGTGGAGCCTTGCAGTAAGAACCACAGAAAAGCCAGGAAACTGCTTTTGAAAAGAGTGATGCTTATGAATGAGGTGAATCAAGGACAAATAGTAAGCTACAGTGAAGAGCCTTAATTTCCAGCACTCTGCTCTGTCTGGGTTATGAAGAATAGCATTACTTTGCCTACTTATGTTGACTCATTGTAAAGATTAACAGGTATTATACTGTGGGGGAAGAACTTACAAAAGAAACAAAAAAATCACATATGGCATTATAAATATGTTAAAAACAATAGCAAGAAAGAAAAAAACTACTTGTGTGCCTATCTTGGGGTTGATTTTGCTTAACATCATCTTATGTGTTCATATGTTTATAGCTTTTGACCTTTTCTGTTTGTCCTAGATGTATTGCAAATAAGGGAAAGCATGGGACTTATGTTTCTTTGGGCCTGGCTTACTTCACTTAATATAATTTTTTCCAAGTGTTTCCATTTCCTAACAAATGGGGTGATGTTCTTTCTGATGGAGACATAGAATTCCATTGTATATATACCACATTTTCTTGATCCATTCATCTACTGCTTCTGGTGCCCTGCATCTTGTATATACATTTTTATAATTTGGGGAGGGAAAGGGAAATAACAAAATGCTGAAATAAGGATACAGGATGACCCATTATAACAATGAGATGTACAAGACACTATGTTGAAAACTAACTTTACATTTTCAGGGGAGGGAGGGAGGAGTTGGGGAGGTGAATAGGGAAGAGATGGTAGGGGAAAAACAAAGAAGGAGGTAACAATGCTCAATAGAAAATATGCTCATTACCTTACTCATGTAATTGTAACCCCTCTGTACAGTATTTTTACAATAAGAAAGCATATACAACTTTACAGGTATTTTCCATTGCAGAATTAAAACAAATGCTCTGTAGGATGACCTCATTTGCCCTTTACATTCAACTCAGCCCTCCAAATCACCTATAATAATAATAGCAAACACAGAAATCAAGCTTCCTACCTACCTTTGCTTGGTATTTTGTCCAGCAAAATTTTCTTTAGAAACTAAACTTGGAAGTTTTATTATGCTAGCTTAATATATGTTTTAATATAATTTATGATTTTCACTTGAAACATGCTGATAGGAATAGTAATAATTCAAATTAAAATCAGAAGATAGAACAGTTTTATACAAATTTTAAAATAAAATACTGTAGTTTGTCATTTATGACTTAATGTGGAATCTATCACAGCACAATTTATTCAATAAAAGATCTTATTTTATAAGTTTACCAAATACATTTACAAATATAATTACATTATAATGTATTTTTATCACACACAAAATAAATGTAATCTCTGAAGTTTTATTTTAGCTTTTGTCACTATTTTCAAAAGTTAATTTGTACCTATTAATAGATATTTTACTATCTTGATTATTCTATTATATTTCAATTTTCTTCAACAGAAAATATGTGGAAGTTTATTAACATACAATATGAGTTATAAGAAATGAGATTTATTCATCTGAATAAATGTTGGCTTATACTATCAAATCATATTCTACACTATGAATACATATCAGATACTATAATTAAAACCAATTCACAAATCAAAAAATAAGTTCAAATGTAAGAAAATATGAAACATAATTTATGATTATTGTTGCCATTGGCACTATCATTTTTGTTACAAAGAAATTAAAAATAGGTGATCCTTCAATCAAAACAAAGAATGAAATGTTTGGTAGATTCTTTATCTTAATTTAATGAATGAAATGACTATTATCAATTAATGCAATGAAAAATGTATCAGAAACACATTGCATACAGATTTACATAATGATAAAAAGCAATGGGAAGATATCTTATGTTCTGAAATTTCCAGAATTAATATCATGAAAATGGCTCTGCCCCCAAAAGCAATCTATAGATTAGTGCAATGCACATCAAACCCACAATGTCATCACAGAAACAGAAAAACCAATCCAAAATTCATGTGAAATTATAAAAGACCGTGAGTAACATAAACAATCTCAAGATAAAGTATAATGACAAATGAATCCCAAGGTCCAAGTTCAAATTACACTCCAGGGAGAGAACAATGAGACAATAAGAAGAGGTCATTTTAATTAGTTAAACAGCCATTATAGACCCATAGACCTGAAGAACAAAGAATAGAAAGCCTAGGAATAAAACACCACAGATATCAGATTTTTGACCAATGACCTCAAAATATACAGAAACATGTGGGGGAAAAAAAGACAACCTATTTGGCCAATGATATTGGCAAAACTAGTTATTTTCTTATGAGAGACTAGAAATGTGATTTCTATCTTTCACCTTATATCAAATTGAACTCCAAGTAGATCAAAGAACTTGAAGTAATACCTGAAACTTTAAATATAATACACGACACATAAGTAAAACCTTGGGAGTTATAGTCATAGTTAGCTTTTTTTTTTCTAACTTCTGAATTTCCCCAAGAGGAAAAAAGAAGAGTAGTCAAGTAGAACTACTGCAAACTGTCTGTACAGCAATAAAACAATCTCCAGAACCAAGACATAACCCAAAGAGTAAAAAGATAGTTCAAATAATTAAACTTCAAATGAGCAAATAATCCAATTAAGAAACAGAGAAAACATGGGGGTGGGGGAGGATGGGAAGGGATGGGAAGGGGAAACAAAGGAGGAGGCTACAATGCTTGATAAGAAATGTACTCATTATCTTGCCCATGTAATTGTAACCCCTCTGTACAGTATTTTCACAATAAAAAATAAATTTAAAAAAAGGAACAGAGAAAACAGTTTTCAGAAAGAGAAATCCAAAATGGCTGATAGGAACATGAAAAAATGACCAACATGCTTAGCTATAAAGGAAATAAAAATTAAAATTACACTAAGACGGCATTTCAAAAAGTAGCCAGGATGGAAATCATCAAGAAAACAAAAACAAATATTTTCATTGATGCTATACACTCCTGATGGGAATGTAAATTAGTGTAAAAACTAGAGATATCATTAGAAAGGTTCTTCAAATACCAGAAATAATGGTATATTTTTACTCCTATATTATGGATGCTAGATTCAAAGGGCATACAAATTCATGGAGCCATATACACACACAATGAGAGAGAGGGGGGGGAAGAGAGGAGAGAGAGAGAGAGAGAGAGAGAGAGAGTGGTGAGGCAGACAGACAGAGATCATGAATCTAAGTTTGGGACTGTTTATAGGGATGAAGAGAATGGGAGAGGGAAAAAGAATGATGGAGTATAAAGGATTTCAAATAAATTTCAAGTATATAAACAGATGGCATAAAGAATCATAATGAAAGCTATGACTAGTAGGGTTGTAAGGATAGGGAAAGATAAAGCAGTTAAAAGAGATATCATTATCAACATATATGTACATCTGAAATCCCTCGTTATAATTAGTGTTCACTGATAAATGAAGAATGTTAGGAAAGTGATAGAGGTTCTGCAGGGGGCTGAGTTCCAGCAGAATGGAGGAGGGTTAATAGTGGGGATAAATAAAGATGAACATGCTTGAAGTATTTTATTCACATGAATGCAAATAGAATAATAAAAATTGTTGAATATATATGTATGTATGTCATATTGTGATCATAGTGCCTGAACTCTGGGCCTGGGCACTGTCCCTCGGCAATTCAGCTCAAGGCTAACACTTTACCACATGAGCCAGTGCCACTTCCGCCTTTTTCTGCTTATGTGATATTGAGGAATCGAACCCTGAATATTTTAAAAGAAAGTGCATGTTGACTTTGATTGGGATTCATTGTATGAATGTATGAAAATACCACAATGAAAAAAAATTTGCTCAATGTAGGTTAATAAATATCCAAAATTCAACTTTGCCCTTTTTGTGAAAATTTAGGATATAAAATACCTCCAACTACAATACATGATTTTTGGTATGAAATTTGTAATTACATTGTTCCTGGCTCTTCAAATAAAAATTGAACATTAATTGAATTAATCCCCTGAAGATGACTGGTTCAGTGGCATTTTTATATAACAGAATAGGTGTTAAATCATTTTCTGTAACAGAAAAGACAATAAATCTTTTTATATAATAGAAGAGGTGATAAATCCCTTTCAGTCTGTTTCTTTCCTATTTGAATATGTCAAAATATATGCTGTTATTCACTAGTTTAAGTCATTCAGAAATTCAAGCATATAGAACGTACTATATCTGAACAAATGCACACAGAAATAACTGAAAGGAAAATAATGGAATTGCATATGTTTTAAAAGACTATTTGGAAATTGTTTCAATAATATGCTCCACTTGGGGATTTACTGTAGATAAAAGTTAAGTCTAAGCAATAATGATTACTGAGTGTCATAATCTTTTATCCATAACAGTCCTTATGTGAGGAACCAATGTGTTGTCAGGTAAGGTAAGCATTGCAAACAATGTGACTCTTCACTTTAGATAGCACACGTTCGGAATTGGGGACAGAAGTAGGTAGCAGACCCAGGAGTAGGTAGCAAGCCCTTGATCTTGGTGAATCATAATGCCCTATGAAAGGGATTACTGGTAAAACATACATAATGAAGAGATCCCACAAAAATATCTTTCAGATGTCTGTGTCATTACATCAAACTCTAATTATATACAAGAATAGCCTTCTCTCTGTCTCTTTCTGTCTCTCTTTCCTTTCCTTTTTGTCTCCTTTATCTCTCCTCTTGCTGCCTTTCTCCTTCCTACTTTATTCCTTCCTTTGTTTTTTGATCCCTTTTCTTCTTTTTTCCAGTGTTTATGATGCTTCCATGGCCTCGGGCCTAACAGAGACATACACCCCAATCATTTTGTTTTATACTTATTTTTGGAATTAAGTCTGCTTAAAATTTTCCCAGGATGGGTTTGAATTTATTGTGTTCCCACTTCCCCTTCCTGAGAAGCTGAAATTACAGGAATGCACTAGTATGTCTGGCTAGCACCTTCTAATTAATGAGGCATATTGAATTAGTTATCAAAGAGAGTCAAAAAATATCTTTGTAATTTGTAACCTACCATGATTAGTAATATTGGATTTAATATGCCCACATACAGCTTGTCATAAAATTTCTTCTTAGTTATTATATATCATAATATATATATAATATGTATATAATCATATACATGTATATATGTATATTTATAGATACATATATTATATTAATATATACATATAATAGTATATAACTATATACATATACTAATACATTTATAGTATAAGAATATAATATACACATATAATATATGTATATTTACATATATAATCTCTCCATTTAATATATTGAATTGGGTTTATATTTGTTTACAATATATTTTAATAAGAACAGAAATATCACACTGAAAATATTTAATATATTTTACAGATTTGTGAAGCTGGGAATCATTTCATCAATGTGATGTTAGCTCATCCAAATCACACAGGTTAGTTTCTTTTCCTTTTTATTCTCAGATTGAAGTTGTTAATAATTATTTTATGAAGCTATACAACTTTTAGTAATTGTTGGAATGAGAACAGAAACATTTTCTAGTTTTGTTCCTGTTTTCTGTTTTTCTTTTCTTGTCGGTCCTGGAGCTTGAACTCTGGGCCTGGGCGCTGTCCCTGTGCTCTTCAGCTAGAGGCCAGTGTTCTACCCTGTGAGCCACAGAGCCACTTCCGGTTGTCTACTGGTTTTATTGGTGATAAGAGTCTTATGGAGTTTCCTGCCCAGGCTGGCTTTGAACCATGATCCTCAGATCTTACCCTCCTGAGTAACTAGGATTACAGGTTTGAGCCACCGGTGCCCAGCTTGTTCCTATTTTCTATATTTGAATCAAATGCATTACATAGTACTTCCTTTAAAATGAAATGCACTTGGATATCACCATGCCATCCATGCAAATATTAGACAAAACTCCTGTTTTAGATATCTGAAATTAGCTAAGTTGAGTAACATAACATTGACAATAAGGCAATGTATTGCTTAATTATCTCTATAAAATGTGCTAATTATATAATTTACTGACTCAAACACTTCTGACAGTTTAGGTCAGTTTGGGAATTCCAATAACTTACTGTACATAATGAAAGATTGCAAACTTCAAATAGATATGGTCAACTTTGGGTCTTCTTGTACAGTTCTAATGACTGTGTGAATATGATTAATGTACATTATATTTGTTAGGAAATGGAAAGACTTGGAAAAAAATCACATTCAATGAAGTAAGCCAGACCCAAAGAAACATAGGTCCCATGGTTTCCCCTATTTGCAATATCTAGAATACATATAGGACAGTCTTATCAGATGAGCAGAAAAATCTCAAAAGTTATGCACATTTGACCATACAAGGTGATGCCAAGAGATAGGATACAGGAGGTTTTTCTTTGTTATTTTTAAGTGATATTTTTGTATGTTCTTCTCCCTATGGCATATTCCTTGTTGTCCCTGTATTTGATTTTGATAGACCTTTGTGAATTTTTTATGGTAAAGATACTGTACAGAAGGATGACAGTTACAAGAATAAGGTAATGATTATATTTCCTATCAAGCATTGTTACCCCCTTCTTTGTTTTATAAATGTTTTCTTTCTTATCTTTATGTAGCTGTACAAAGGAGATGCCACTTGACAAAGCAGTTTATAAATAAAACGTATCTTGATCACTGTCACCTTTCGAACATTCTCACCAATCACATTCCTTCCCATCGCTTAGCTCAGTGTTCTTAATCATTTTTTTCTGGGTACTTTATTTTATTTATTTTATTTTTTATTTGTGAAAATACTCTACAGTTACATGAGCAAGGTAATGGGTACATTTCTTATTGAGCATTGTTGCCTCCTCCTTTGTTTCCTCTTACTATCTCTTCCCATTTTTCCCATCTCTCCCCACCCCGCCAGCACCTTCCCTCCCCTCCTCCCAGGCCCCCCCATTTCTTTTCAAATGGAACAATATCATTATTTCTCAATTGTTTATTAACCCTTCCATCAAATACGCAATTGATACACATATTTCATGTCCACTTACATATTAATGTTCATTCTGGCAATCCTGATTAGTTTGTTCTTTCTCCTATGCTTATCATTCCAAGTATTTGTAGCACTGTATGAATATATTCAACTATAGGATGCCTGCCTATTATCATAATTCCTAACTCACCACAGACATGTTTGTGAGTGATATACCTGGAATTCACCAGTCACTCATTTTGCCGACTTATGGTGCAAATGATTTTTCATGAATGCAGGTTATACTGATCTCCAACTTGCATCCTTGAAACGCAGGATGGAGATAAGTATTACAATGATAGTAAAGAAATGACTTTATAAAGAGGAAAATATCATGTTTGCATTCAAAGATTAACAGTAACAATAAATGTCTGCAAAGAAAGAACAGAACATTCTAAAGAGAGGTTGAACAACTTTACAATTTCGAGGTGGGGGAGGGAGGAGTTGGTAAGGTGGGGAGGGAAAGGATAGAAGGGGAAAAACAAAGGGGGGGGTATTAATGCTACGTAGGAAATGTACTTATTATCTTACTCATGTAACTGTCCTGAACTGAATCATCAATTTAAAATATTGATCCAAGAGAAGTTTTTAATTAAAACAAAAACGGATTGTAGTGTTGGCATAGGTTGCTCTCTCTTCAATAAGCAGTATTCAGGGGGCCAGGATGACAAGTGAGATCTTTCTTCAAGCAATACTACTTAAAGCAGTCAATCTATCAATATAATTAGGGATGAAGCCTAATTATATAAGATTTCAATGCAATGAATACTCTATTATTTCATTTAACATATATTGTATTAAAACTATATTTTGAAAAAAATATAATGATGGATGGTACTATTTAGTAATACACAATAAACTTGTATGCTAGTACAATGAAAATAATCAACCTACTTTTTATACATATATGTCTCTTTACATATAACATAGTCAGTATTTAACCTGAAAAATACATGTACAAAAATGTGAATTGCACTTAACTTCATCATATACAGGTTGATCCATTGTAATAATGAGATATACAAGACACTATGTTGAAAACAAACTTTACAATTTCGAGGTGGGGGGAGGGAGGAGTTGGTAAGGTGGGGAGGGAAAGGATAGAGTGGGAAAAACAAAGGGGGGTAATAATGCTCCATAGGAAATGTACTCATTATCTTACTCATGTAACTGTAACCCTTCTGTATAGTATCTGTACAATAAAAATATTTTTAAAAAGAAGTTAAAAATGTGAATTTGTATAGTGCTGATTTTTCCCCACTTCTAGGGATGAAAAACAGAATCTAGGGGGTAATATCTCAGACTGTCCTGTGTACTTATTCTATCTCTGAAAATCAGTAGCTTTAAATTGCATAGTTTTCTCAACCGTTTATTCCTTTGAGTAATGTGTGAACACTTTAATTAATAGATTAATAGCTTTAATTACCTAGATGTGCTGCAGTACTAGTAGCATTAAATTCCATACATATTTTTTCTTTCTTAAAGATGAGTAGTGCTGAGATCTACAGAGTACTTGTATATGTTTTTATGCTGATATTTCTACCCCAGTGACTTTTTATTATGATTTTTGTGTTGTAACTAAAAGAGTTTCAGTGCTTTTTTTTCTGAGTACACCTTAGTACAGTGAATAAAACATCAGTCTTATAATTCATATTTATCTTTACAAATGTCACAGCTAAAAGTTCAACTTGAAATCATTGCTTATTTTCAAAACTGTTTCCTGAGGGGGGGAAAACAAAAAATAGAAATTAAGTGACAATATGCTGAACATGATGAGAACTGTAAATAATATTCCTGATTTTATAGCAGACATAATTCATAAGGCATTTCAGAATTAACTATATTGATTCAGTTTAATACTCTTATGACATATTTTTCGGACTCTTCTGATTTAAATAATATTCTTATAAAATTCGCTTTGGATTTTAACTACATCAATACTATTTTGAAGTATTTAATAATCTTAATCAAACACATGCATTTTGATAGCAAAGAGGATTTTGAAGATACATGCAATTATCAAAACATATTTTGTACTTTTAGCATGAAATACAGCTACATCTAGAAATATATACAAAATAATCATATTTATTATTTTATATAAATCTTAAGAAAATGATTGCCTCCATGTATCTGATGTGTTTTTTTTTAATAAAATAGTCAGGAGGTGGTTAGACAATATGATGCAAGTCCAAAGCTTATAGCATGAAACCTATGCTTTTTGGGGTATAGTTTGCTTCACTTAATATCATATTTTCCAAGTATTTCCATTTGTTTATGAGTGGGACAATGTGATTCTTTGTGATGAAAGCATAGAATTCCATTGTGTGAGTGTGTGTGTGCATCACATTTATACATATGTATATAACATTTATATACCATATTTTCATGCTCTATTTGTTCATTGAGGGGTATCTAGGTTGATTCTATATCTTAACCATGCTGCACTGAATCTGGTTGTGCTAGTAACTTTGGTGTGGCTGGTTTTTGATCAGTTCTTAAAAGCCAAGGAGTGGGATTGCTGAGTCATAAGGAAGCTCTATGTTTACTCATTTGAGCAACTTCCATACTGCTTTCCAGGGTTGCTGAATGAGTTTACATTCCTACTAACAGTGTAGTACTGTTCCCTTTTGTCCACATCCCTGCCAGCATCTGTTATTGTTAGTCTTTTTTTTTTTTTTTTGGTGGGTCTTGGAGCTTGAACTCTGGGCCTGGGTGCTGTCCCTGCGCTCTTCAGCTCAAGGCCAGTGCTCTACCGCTTGAGCCACAGCGCCACTTCCGGTTTTCTAGTGGTTTTTATTGATGATAAGAGTTTCACGGAGTTTCCTGCCCGGGTTGCTTTGAACTGCGATCTTCAGAACTCAGCCTCCTGAGTAGCTAGGATTACAGGCTTGAGCCACTAGCGCCCAGCTATTTTAATCTTTTTGATAATGGCCATGCCACGTGGAGTGATAAAGAAGTTCAATGTTGTTTTCTTTTTTCTCTCTCTCTTTTTTTTTTTTTTTAGTGGCCAGAGATGTTGAATATGTCTTCATGTGTCTATTGGCCATTTTAATTTCTTCTTCTGAGAAGTTTCTCCTTAAGTCTTTAGCAAATTTATTAATTGGGCTGTGGTTTCTTTGGGGATTTGTTTTGGCGAGGATTAATTTTTTGAGCTTTAAGTATATTTTAGATATAAAACCCTTGACTGATGCATAGCCAATATTTTCTATTTTCTGGGCTTTCTATTTATCTTGCTACGTATATGCCTTGTCATGCAGAAACTCATCAGTTTGACGCAATGCAATTTATATAGTCATTCTTTGATTTGTTGTGATTCTGTGTCTTTACTTAGAAGTTTCACCTTGTGTCCAGGCATCCTAGTGTTTCCGTTTCCCTTTCTGTAATATTTTCAGGTTGTCTGCTCTTACCTCGAGATCTTTGATCCATTTGGAATTGATTTGGGTGCAGGTGATATATAAGGATCTAGCTTCAGTTTTCTGTACATGTATAGCCAATTCTGTCAGCACCATTTGTTGAAGAGGCTGTCTGTTTTACATCCTGTGTTTCTGGCTCAAGTATCAAATATTAAATGGGATAGGATAGGTTCAAAAAGATTCAATGGTTATATGCAAATAAAATAGTTTTTATCAAAATGAACTCCAAGACATGGAAACAAGAGGTTTTTCATTGAACTGTTCTGTTTCATTTTTCTGGATTTTTCCTTCTTTCAGTCACTTATTTTTTCTTTTCTTTTCTTTTAATTTCTGTACCCTTTGTCTTGTATGTAAGTTTATCTGGTTTGGGGAGGTGATGGGGAAACTCAGAAATGGTGGACAAGGGGTGCACTAATTCAGTAAGGATATCCATTAGACACTATGTTGGAAATGAACAGTACAATTTGGGGCATCAGGAGGGAAAAATCTGTAAGAAAATGAGGGAGGGGTAACACTGTTGAAAAAGAAATGCATTCATTAACTCACTTGTGTAACTGTAAACCTTCTATACATTACCTTTGTAATAAACATTTGAAAATAATGAAAAACATTACTGTTTGAATTTTCAAGCTCTTTTTAATAAATATGAGAATAAAGAAAAGCTCATAACATTTTAATAAATTTGAAAATAAAAAAGCTCAAAACATTTGAAAGTAGATTTCTTTTCGGTTTATAAATTAGATGGCTATAAATTTATGCCTACACGTTATCTAGTGTGTAAAATAAGCATATAGTCAAACTTTCAATGTGTAACATCACTGATTATTTTTTTCTAAAAGGAAATAATGCTTGCTTCCCAAGTCCAAATTATAACCCTCTTACATGGATGTTTTTCCTGGTTTCATGTCCTAACTACACTTATGAGGTATGTCATATTTATCTGTAAAGTAGTATTTGATAATTTATAGTAATATATATGCTTTATATGTATCATATTTTAATATGTAAAATATATATGAAGACCTTAGCTGGGCACCTCTAGCTCTTACCTGTAATTCTAGACACCACAAGGTTGTAATCTGAGGATCATAGTTCAAAAAGCAGCCCATGCATGAAATATCTGTGAGACTCTTGTCTCCATCTTGTCTCCAATTATTCACAGCACTGTGGCTCAAGTGGTAAGAGTGCACCAACCATCAGCAAAAAAGAGCTCAGGGACAATGCCCAGGGCCAGAATTCAAGCCCTAGATCTGGCAAAATATAAATGAAAAATATGGAGATTTACACTAAAAATGCAAGATCAACAATATAAAGTCAATTCTTATCAAAAACATGGATGCAAATGTATTTTAGCCATAATTTTTGCTTCAGGAAGAAGAAATTGCTCATAAATACCTTGCCATAAAATATTTTGAAATGTTGCCTTTGCATGTGTGTACGTATGGCTTCAATATTTATGTGGCAGTTACTCAACCACACCCACTTTTTCTGTTTTGTCGGTCGTGGGGCTTGAACTCTGGGCTTGGGTGCATCCCTCAGCTCTTCAGCTCGACTCGCGCTCTAACACTTGATCCACAGCACCACTTCCTGTTTTCTGAGTGGTTTATTGGAGATAAAAGTCTCATGACCTTTCTTCCCCGGGCTGGATTTGAGCAGCTGTCCTCAAATCTCGACCTCCTGAGGAGCTAGGATTAAAAGCAAGGTCCACTAGCTCCTTTTTTATACTAGTTATTCTGAGATAAGGTTTTGCTTTATGACTCTGATTCCCTAATTGGACTTCTGTGTTTTTGTGTATGTGTACCTGTTCTGGGTACAAACTGAGAACCTGAGTCCTTTTGTGTAAGGGTAGCACTCTACCACTTAAGCCACAGATTACAAGCATGAGCCACCAGTTTCAGCTTGATCTTCCTATTTAATGTTGTGGCTATGATGGCAGCTATTTGTCACCACATGTAACTTTCTCTATTGAGATGCTATCTCCTAATTTTCTGCCCAGCTTTTCCTTAAGCCAAGATCTACCCAATTTTAGCCTCTCCCAGAACTGGGGTGACAGACACAACCACCATATCCAGCCATTGGTTTAGGAGAGGTCTTGTGTATATATATACTTGAACTAGTCTGGAATTACTGCCATACCAATTTCAACCTCCCATAAGCTTCCAGAACCCAAGATATATTTATGAATTTCAATATTTATCAAAAGTTTTAATGCTCTTTTTTGCCTTATTTGATACAATTTCAAATTTTACTTTCATATGTTTTACTTTCACATTGTTTTTTCTGGAAATTTCTTTCTACATATAGCTTTTCCAATGTGTATGCTTTAAAATTGTCTATTTAAGGTCATAAGTAAAAAGTCACTAGATTAACTTCAAATATGTTAACTCACGATTGATTTTCATTCACCTGTTTCTTTTATTTTCACAGATTGGATCATGGATTAGTTTTACAATAATGACTCAAACACTGCCAGGTAAGCTTTATTGACATTATAATTTTTAAGTGAAGGTGGACATGCACTTTTATGAGAAGTACTTTCTTGGAATAAGTTCCCTATACAGATAAAAGTTAGAATGTTTATAAAATGATTTTATGCTTTTATTTTTATCTTGATGTTGATTTTTTACCAATATTAAAGTATTGAGATAATATTTACCATTTATTTCTGTATAATTATTGTCTAAACTCAACAAGGAAACATAAATCAAATATATTAAGAACTTAGATTTTTGTTGGAAAGAAGTAATGTTATCTATGCATTTCAGTATGGATTGCTTCTGCATATGCTCAGGCTGTGTATGTTGTGTTCCAATGAATCTAAAAAAAGTTGGCCTAGGGAGAATTGAGAAGGTCATCTTTAATACCAGTCATTTTAAAACAGAATAGAAAGTTAAACTGAATGATCTCTCTGTATGTTCAGAGATACATTTCATTCATTGTTGTTCTTTTGATAATAACTTTGAATCATTATGTGGTTTATTACATTGTGTATGTCATGAAAATTCCTGGGTGAGTCATATATATATGAAAGACTGTGATTGTAAGCATTCATAAAAATTATTTATTTTTGTAATAGTGGGATATAAAGATGTAGAGTTTTATGGAAATTTTCTTCTAGATGTTCTATGTTTATTCAAGTTATACTGTTTGAACATATGATGATATCTTATGAATATGAAGAAATTGACAAGAATCTATATAACATGAGAAGTATTTATAAGTTATATTTATTCCCTTTTATTGCATCCATCATATAAATTTAGAAGGGTAATTATTTCTCTTTTTCCCTTCTAGTTGGGATTTTTACACTTCTGATGAGTATCCAGATGTCTCTGTGGGCACAAAAAAAACATAAGATTTACTTGAAGAAATTCAATTCATACGTGCATAGGAAATCAGCAATAATTCCATTTTTATTGTAAATAAAAGGTGTTTTCCCAACATATCCAGAAACACAATATATGACTTCCCCAATCATAGAGTCAAGACTGGCTATAATGCTGTGATAGTTCATGAACAACAATGTTCTTACTGAAAAAATTATACAATTGCATGATGGATCCAAATTTAACATAGTTAAAGTAATGAAAGTGAAGCTACAGTTAATCAATGAAAAATAATTTTGGGACTATAATAAGCACTGGAACTTTGAACAAATTTATGAACATTTTTGAAAGTTAAGATTTTTTGAATAGTACTAATTTCAAATAATATGTTGATAATCAATTTTTTCTCTATGGTCTAATGCACTAAAGTGTTACATTTCTTGTATTATTAGTTAATTTCTTGTGAATTTTAGACATTAAAAGTGAATTTTTCATAAATACTCAAAGTTTATTATTTATTCATCATCTACTTATGTCAAAATTTTGATATTATAACAATTCAGTTCTTATTTTGGCATCATTAAATATTTTTAATTTGAAATATTTTGAAATGTGCATTTGTAAATCATTTGTTTACACTCATAAATTATATATAATTTATACATGTATAAAATTATACATTTATACCCATATATAAATTATTCATATGTTTTGAAATATATACATTTATAATATATAATATGGCAAAATTATGCAGCTATTAGAATACAGAATGTTTTAAATGTTTAGTTTTTGCAAACCAGTTGTTTTGTTTAAGTGTTTATGTGACCGCGTATACATACATTAAAGGTGATTGACATTATAAAAATTAAAGTAAAATTTTGAAGGAAATTCTATGTCTATTTTGAAATTAACACTGCTTAACAATGATTTCCAGTTGTCAGATTAAATACATGTGTTATAAAATATTGTCATTGAAGTTCTTAAATGATATAGAAATATGGCAAAATATTTTTGCAAAGTAAGCATGTTTTTACCAAGTAACCATCTGCTATTAAGATACATGTAGCCAACTATTCACGAAAAGAAAACTGTCCTTTAAATCTTCATTACTTCTGGTTTCTGGTGGCTTAGGCCAGTAATTCAACTATTCTGGAAGTTGAGATCTGTGAAATTGTGGTTTGAAGCCAAATTCATTAGGAAAGTTTTTGAGAACTTGAACTCTGGACCTGGGCACTGTCCCTCAGCTCTTTAGCTCAAGGCAAGTGCTCTACTGCTTGAGTCACAGAACCACTTCCAGTTTTCTAGTGGTGTATTGGAGATAAGAGTCTCACCCTTTCCTGTCGGAGCTGGCTTTGAACCGTGATCCTCAGATCTCAGCCTCCTGAGTAGCTAGGATTACAGGCCAAATTACCTTTTTTTAAACCTTTTATATTTATTGCATATGTTCCTCATTTTGACCTTTTCAATATTTTTTTTAAATAAGTTTTTTTTATTGTGAGAATACTGTACAGAGGAGGGGTTACAGTTACATGAGCAAGATAATAAGTACATTTCATATCAAGCATTGTTGTCTCCTTTGTTCTTCCCCTCCCATCCCTTCCCTCCCATCTCCATAACTACACTCCCTCCTCCAACCCCCCCCCACTAAATTATAAAGTTCGTTTTTCAACATAGCCTCTTATACATCTCATTGTTGCAGTGGGTCGACTTGTATCCCTGTTTAAACAATTTGTTTTTTCCCTTCCACAAATTATACCAACATAAAATACAGTGAAAACAGTGGGTTATATTGTGGGAGAGGGACATGCAAAGCAACAAAGAAATCATATGGTACCTTATAAATACTTTAGAAGCAATAGCAAGAAATAAAAAAACCACTTGTGTCCTTATCTTGGGGTTCATTGCACTTAGCATCATCTTATCTGACCTTTTCTGCTTGTCTCAGACATATACTAGTTATTGCATATAAGGGAAACTATGGGACCTATGTTTCTTTGGGCCTGGCTTAATTCATTTAATATGATTTTTTCCAGGTCTTTTCATTTTCTAACAAATGGGGAAATGTCATTCTTTCTGATGGAGGCATAGAATTCCATTGTGTATATATACCACATTTTCTTGATCCATTCATCTACTGAGGGGCATCTGGGTTGGTTCCAGATCTTAGCTATGGTAAATAAAGCTGCAGTAAACATTGTTGTGCTGGTAGCTTTAGTATGGTCTTGTTTGTGATCGATTATTCAGGTAAATGCCCAAACTTTACAATATCTTTTAAAAATATTTTATTGAGCCTGGCGCCAATAGCTGAAGCCTGTAATCCTAGCTACTCAGGAGGCTGAGATCTGAAGATCATGATTCAAAGCCAACCCAAGCAGGACTGTCTATGAGATTCTTATCTTCAATAAACCACTCAGAAAACCGGAAGTGTTGCTGTGGCTCAAGTGGTAGAGTGCTAGCCTTGAGCTGAAGAGCTGAGGGACAGAACCCAGGCCCAGAGTTCAAGTCCCATGACCAACCAAAAAAAATATATATATAGTTATATATCGCTATATATATATAGTTATATATATAGTTATATATAGCTATTGTAGAGGTGATATACAGAGGGGCTACAGTTATTATATCGGTCAGCTAATACAATTTTTGTTGAACCATGTCTTCTCTTCCCTCACTCTCTCCAAATTTTTACCTCCTGTTGTCAATCTCAAGTCCTACACAGTTCATTTTCCACATAATGTCTAGTGAGTACCACTGTTGTACTTATTCAATTAACTTTCAAACAACAACAACAACAACAACCATCAAAGCTTGCTGTGGCTCAAGTGTTAGAACACTAGCTTTGAACAAAATTCTCAGGTACTGAGCCCAGGCCCTGAGTTTAAACCCCAGGACTGCTCCCCCTCACCAGCTACCAAATAAACAATTCAAAACATTCATTATGTTTTCTGACTGTATGCTTTAAAATACATAGAAGGCCACCTCAAAATTTTAATTACCTACCATCAGCTCAGTTTGTAGGCTATCAGTATGATATCATTCAATGGTCTTAAAAGGAATCATTAATGCATTAAACCACATACAACTAATACAATTATCAATTTGATCACCAATAGAAAAAAATTCCTGTATCAATCAACTATGAGTACTTTATGTTTTTTATTTGAATCCTGCCTGATGCTAGACTGGAATAATGAGCATTTTCTATGACTAGGAAATCTTTGTTGTGGAGGAGAAAAGGATAGGATAAAAAGTTTTCATCAAAGACATCAAAGAATACAGAACTGATGAACATATTGTTATTATATCAATACAAAATCACCATGTATAATCTGATAGCAATCAGATATACACTTAAATCTTCTATAATGTAAACTTACTTGTATATGTTTAGAGTTGCTATATATGAAAGAATATACACGTATTCAGAAATTTACCTACATGCCTACATTATCTGTGCTTTGTTTAATTTCTTGTGTATTTTATCTCTGGCAAGCGGTTTCTTGCCAATGCTTCCTTTCATTTATTTATTTATTATTTTTAACCTTCAATTGTCTTCAAATTTTGGGCTTTAAATATCAACAGCTGTGTTTTAGATATCAATATGGAGCAGTGCTTCTTTATGGACTCCCTGTCCTACCACATTTTTTCTCCTATAGAGGAAATAAAATTGAAGCTAGGATGAAACTATTGAACAACATATAAGAACCATCAATAGTGAATTTTCATGATTAGTCATAAAATTATCATAAGCCCCTGTTTTCCTTATCCCAACCACCACAAAAATTTGAACAAAAACATCATATTTGCATGAAACAAATCTATAAAATCATCTCATTTTTTTCTCTTACCTGTTTCATCAGTACATCCTCAGGTAACAATTTCAGATAATGTGCTCTTTTGCAGAAGTATCATTTAACACAGCATAGATGGAATGTGTGCCTTGATTGTGTTTACATCACCATGGATTTGGTGTCAAAGAGAAAGGTATTTGCTGGAGATAATTCAGAAAACTTACAAATCTAACTATAAACCTAAAGCCTAAAAGAAACTGTTTAAATAACTCAGATGTTTGTTTAGGAGGCAGAGACCAGAGCATCAAATTCAAGACCAACTTGGAAGAAAAGTATCAAGACCTTATCTCAGAAACAAGCTAGGCATGGTCATCTATACCTGTAGTCTTAGTTAATCACAGTGGGAGGGTAGTATAAACACCATCCAAAAATAGATCTTGGCAACATTGCAGGACATTGCCTCAAAAAACAAGATAGGATGCATGACACAAAGAGCAGAAGTTCTCCCTAGCACAGATCCTGAATTCAAGTCCAAGTAGGAAAAAAATGAATAAAAAAGGAAAAAAAGGAGCTACCACATATGACTATATAAGATAATATTAAGTAAATTCCAAGATGGGACACAAATGGCTTTTTCTTGCTATTGTTTTTAACATATTTAAAATGTACTATGATTTTTTTCTCTTATATTTTCTTCCCCCATGGTTTAATCTCTGTTTTCATTGTATTTGGTGTCAGTGCCCTGCATCTTGTATATACATTTTTCTAATTTGGGGAGAGGAAGGGAAATAACAAAATGCTGAAATAAGGATACAGGTTGGCCCATTGTAACAATAAGATGTATATGTTGAAAACTAACTGTACAACTTGGGGGGAGGTCCGAGGAGTCGGGGAGGTAGAGAGGGGAAGGATGGGAAAAACAAAGGAGGAGGTAACAGTGCTGGTTAGGAAATGTACTCATTACTTTACTCATGTAACTGTAGCCCCTCTGTACAGTATTTTTACAATTAAAAGCATATAAAAAAGAAAAAAGGAAAATAAATACAAATAATGATTAAAAGTAAAAGGACTAGAGAGGAAGAAAGAAGGAGAGATGGAAGGAAGGAAAAAAGGAACAAAGAAGAAAGCAAGAAAATACAAAGAAAAAAATCTGTTTACTGAAAAAGAACCTATTCCAAACACAATCGAAAAACAGCCTCAAGTAGGAATGAAAAAATAAAATCCTCCATCAGTTAGTATCTCCTAATATTTTAACTCTTCACAAACTCCAGCTTTATGTCTTCATTTAGAATTTAAGAATAGTTGCCAGTAAACATTTTGATATAGTAAAAATCGATGCGATTGGGTAAAGTAGCATAAAAATTGTCTACTAGATGCCAATTGCCTACATTCTGGAAAGAAACATTATCTTTCATTGAATCTAATCATTATTCTAAAAATGGGTTTTGGAATAATTATTTGGAATAGTAATTAGTACTCCAAAACAATCTGCAAAGGCATGGTGTTTTACAATACTATATCTTCAACTTCATACACTAACAAAAATGTTTGCCTGGGAAAAACTTTTTTTTTTAATTCAGCTGTCCAGCCAGTCACATCATCACAGGGTCCTGATCCCTATACTTCATCACAGCTACACCCTTTCTTTCTCAAATTGTAATTTTTAAGGTTTG